TTTTTGTAATTTATATGTGGAATGCGTACATAACAGAGTATCCTTCTATACAACCGATAGTTACTAATGAGTTCTTGTTTATTGTTCGCAAAAATATGTGGCAAGAACCCAACGCATAGCTTTTACTGGACCATAAAGTTATTCATTATACTGCAATTTGTGTGAAAAGCATTTGTCATTGAGAACTTGCTATCAAAAGTCCCATCCCAAAAATTCTGACCTTTACATCGCATTTCGTTACGAAATAAAAATTGATTGTACATTCCTGAATCTACTTCCTTGAAACTTATATTACGGATGAAGGTGAATTTCTATTTCATCGTTGCGGCATCTACTCTACAAACTTCCTTATCTAAACCGTCAGAGACGCCAAAATGGTATCCCTGCCCAATGTACTCCGATCCATCCATTGCTGTCGAAAGTACACAAGTACAGTGTGGAAAATTCAAAGCACCTTTATGCTACTCTGACGTATGTTCAGCGCCATCAAGTGTAAACCAGACAATTGAGCTTTTTGTCAAGCTCATTCCAGCAAATGAACCTGAGACAGCTATGAACATTTGGATGCTCGGAGACCAAATCGGGGCAGCCTCTGACTCTAGTAAGTATCTATCGCAACTGAATTTATGTCATAATTACTGACCTTTCGGGTTAAATGTTTGTGTAGTGGAAGCAGCGATGGTTCAATTGACAAATAAACTAAATGGATCTGTGAACATCTACACGATGGACCCTCGTGGTAGTGGGAGAAGTACACGTTTGGATTGTGCAGTGAGAACAAATAATCCTCTTGGATATAAAATGGACCCATCTCAAGTTGCGTCGTGTGCTCAAAAGTTAGAACGCACGTTTGGAAATCTTGCTGCATTTTCGCCGACAAGTGCAGCGCATGACCTCTTTAATTTGATTTCGAAGCTTTCCAATGGAGCCGACACAATTTTGTATGGCACGATATACGGAGCACTATTAGTAGAGCGTGTCATGCATCTCGCCCCTCCTGACGTCACCGGATACGTTCTCGACGGACCAATAAGTACAACGGGGTCATACTATTATCAATCAAATGCGGACCGCGACGCTGGCGAAGTGGCTGACGCTTTTATGGAGCTCTGTGATCAAGATCGCGTCTGCAGCTCCCATTTCAAGGATACACTAGCAGCTACAATTCAAGAAATTATAGACAATTTCGACAATCAAGCTGACTCACCATGCTTCGAGTTGATGGGCTCAATCAAAGTGAATTTGCAAAACGCTTCGGCCTCAAGTTATCTTCGGTTAACAAATTCAATCATGTTATCCACAGTATTGTATACATGGATTCCTCAACTTGTCTATCGACTCAAGCGTTGTCAGCTTCAAGACGTCAAGATATTAAAGAAATTTGTAAAGTTCTTAAACGCATATGACTATAGCGAAAGCCCACTATACTCAATTACGTTGCAAGGTCTGATCAATTACTCAGAGTTCTGGGAAAAACCAACACCTTCGTTGGCAATATTGAAGAAGCGTTTTACGGATTCTACTGCCGGTGAGGGTACGTACGATGAACTTCCTCTATACTGTGCTTTCTCAAAAGAACAATCGAAGGCGTGTGCTAAATATGATTTCGGCAAGTACAAAGCTCAAGGAATCATTTACAAGCGTGATCAATACTGGAATGCAAGTGTTTCTATTCCCAATCAGGCTAGCGTTTTGGTGCTGAGCAGCAAGTTGGACATGGCTGCACCGCACAAGTACACACAACGGCTTCTAGAATCTCTAGATGGCGACAATAAAAAGCTGATCTCCTTCGATTTTGGAAGCGGGGGGACACTGTCTACAACATTTGTTGATTTGAGATCTTTTGAAAAGGACACTTGTGCACTAGAGGTGCTTGCTTCGTACATCCGCAATAATGGTGACTTAGCCAGCCTAGATCAATCGTGTTTGGACAAGATGCCAGAATTCGAAATGATTCTTGAGGACTTCAATGCAGACCACCTCATGACGCTTATCAACACAACAATTTAGATGACATTAACATAATGAATGTACTCATTGTTCACTCTACGTGAATTGTCTCATGATACGGCTGTATTTAAGCTCTTATTAGTCCAGAATGCTTGCTGGGTTTCAACGTGATGAGATAGATAAAAAGCTGGAGCATCGATGTACTAATGTTCTGACCTATAGTGCCACGTTACATCCCACTTCGTGGTACAACTGTTCCAGCTCACTCCTCTTTTAAAACCGGTCTTTACATATACGACAAATGTTTTATGCGCCTTCAGTACGAAGCCATACTAGCTTGATTTACTCTCATATCATTTTGTCTGAAGCACTCAACTAGAGCAAGGATGATATATCTGCCTCATACAAGCAATTAATTCTAATTATCAACTGATCGAGGAATTGACCAAAGCGTAGCTGACTATGCTGTTCTGTATCACAAGAATTTAAGGAGTCGGTGTTTTGGGTACGAATCGCTGTATTTAGTTTATCATGAGCATGTGCAAGTCGCTACTTCACATTATCCTTTCCGGTACGAAAAGCTGGCGCCAAGTCTAGAGTTAAAATTGACCCACCATGCGAGTTGCCTCCGGTTTACAGACTCCTATTTAAAGGTGACTTGGCTCCCGGAATATGATACTGCTTCACATTTACTTACTCGTATCAAGGGAACAGTGTGATATTACATAAGCTACATTTGTATGTAGTGACTACCGCGACATATAGTAGCTCTCAAACTCTACAGACTCTATGGCAAAAGACATCACCTTACACCTGGTATGAATCATCCCATCAGAGATACTTTCTAAGGATCACGACAAACTTTCGTTCTAACCCGAGTTACACTCTGAAAACCACAATATACGATTGCATTTTTTTGTCTCATTCGAAGACCATAATATATAGCAACATAGCACTTCTTTCTAAGTAGTAAACCAATTCCTCATTTTAACGACCTAGTAGAGTTGCTAACTCCTCATCAAATTCCTCACTGCTTTACCTATTTCAAAACATTCGTCGCCACTCCTTTTCGTGTTACACGCTTTTTAGCATTCCCTTTGTTCTCATCTTCTTCAATAATTGAAGGTATTGACTGGAGTGATGAAGCAATTGATGCAATAGAAAGCGAACGTCGATCAAATGTATCGGATTCAGCTTCACTATCGCTTGAAGTATCAGCAAATGTACGTGCTTCAGGTCGTAATTGCCCACGAACCGATTGATGTTGAGTAGACTTTTCAATCATTTCATTATCTTGATCAATCGTATTTTCTTTCTCTTCATCTTGAATTTCATCTTCATCATGAATAGTATCAAGAAAGCGTTTGCGTTTCTTTCGAGCACTTGGTAATGAGCTATCGATTGGAGAATGAAGCTTGAGAAAATGTGTTCCAAACTCCATCGGCTTGATAGGTGACAATGAAGTCTATAAGGAGAAAACAATAATAAACAAAAGTCAGTAGCGAGCGTAAGAAATGAGACAAATCACTTTGATGTACGTTAAGTCTTGAGCTGCGAATTGAAAGTGAATCTGGTGCTTCGGGTTCCTTCCTTCCATCAGAAGTGAAAACTCGATTCGATCGACCGAATTGATAGAGATGCTTTGGTAAGAAGATTTTCCCTGGAAACGGTTTTAAGTCGGATTGAGTCTTAATACGCTTCTTAAGTAACATCGCAGTCATGTCAATAAGTGGATACATTGCAAGATCATTCGGTGCAATCACATCATGATATTGCGAGAGTTTTGTCAACATCTGCAGTAGAAACGCAATATTGTCAGCGGCTGATTTCGGAGAGACTAACCCATCTAGAAAAAATTCTAAATATGCCAATTGATCACTCCATTCAGCGCTTTGAAGTATGGAAACTGATGATGTTTTTTCGACCAAATTAGTTGGAAACGAGGGATGGTGAGCTAGTAGATGAATCACATAAGGTAGAGCATATTCAGGTACAATCACTGCATTTAAATTCGGATCTTGGTCGGGATTCGAATTTTCAGATGCTGCATCAAACATCCGTCGCATGCGTTCAACTGCAATCTTAAGAATATTTCGAGCTTCTTTCTTTAAGCTAAAAGTTGTTTCAGTAGCTACTAAAGCCAAGTAACTGAGATATTTATGTGGATGTCGCACCGAATGTTTCACGACGTGAGATGTCAATTTCTTTAAAAATTGACGACGAACTTCTTCACTTGAATCTTGAATACTGAGACCAAGTAAATGCCATTCCGAGATAGAGAGCAAAGTTTCAAGTTGTGGATTTCGCATCATTTTTAATAGACCACACGATGCTGTCAAACGAAACATCGCAGTTTGAGCACTAGTGACTGCAAATTTACTTCCATTCGAGCGCAATATTTCAACCAAAAGTTTCATAAGCTTTGCTGCTTCTTGAGACGATTCATGAGGGACATACACGGCCAAATTTACCAAAACTTTAAGACCTAAGCATCGAATTTCCGTGGTCTTTGCTGCAGCAAGTCGTTTACTCTTTGGTGTACTACCTTCAGAAATTGAATCAAAAGCTTCATCTCGTTTATTAATCAATTCGTCAAACAATAACGTCCATAAATGAGAAACCAGAGACGGATTTTCGTTAAATTGATAGCTACAATGTTTCGAAAAAACGACCAGACTTTGCAATGCTGCTAACACTCCACCTTGCGATGAAGATCCAACTTTTTCTTTCGAGCATAACTTTTTAAGCACTTGTATTGTAGGTTTTGCTTTGCCGTAAAAATGAGTAAGTGCCACTGCCGCCAACTCTGCTGCTCGTCTTGTTTTCGTAGCATTTAAAGACTGAGCTACATCGCCAAGACAAAACTTCTGAAGTCGCTCAATAAGCACTTTTGATGGTATTCTATTGTCGTCTTTTATGTCACTTGTAGTAGACCAATGCTGTGCATAATTCGCAAGAATCTCCAAAGCTCCAAGTATCACATTGAAATCTTTACCATTTGACTCGTTATTGTCGTCACGAGACTTGTTTTTCACAAGAATATTAGTCACTTGATCGCGAATAAATGGATCAAAGAGTCGCGGCAAATCGTTTGAGACCATCACTAACAATTCGACAGCACTACGTGTCTCTTTCATCGATCGACCATGTTTTCCAGCTAAAAAGTCCAAAAGATAACCAATAGAAACATGATTGACAGTCAATAACGCAAGTTTTCGACATAATTTCTTTAAAAATTCACCTAAAGCCGTTCTCGATCCCACACATCGAACAAGTTCATCTCGTGCAAGACGAATAGCATTTTGCGATTTTTGATTATCACACAACGCACCAAGATGTTTAAACACACTATGATCTTTCCACTTTCCAAGTTTTTCTAGTACTTTTTTCAAATTTGGAACATTTGAAAACAATGGAGAAAGTTCGTGGTGAAAGTTCTGTATCGCTTGATCCAATGCGTGACCGTCAGTACGTTTCTGACGACGATGATGAATTTTAAATGTCACGAATTTCGTACGTGCATCTTGACATTTCGCACGTTCACGAAATAATCGACGTAAAGCTTCTTTTGAAACATTATCAAGAGAATGAAAAAGAAACAAAAGACCATTCACGCGTGTTCGTTCTGTAAATGTCTTCGGAAGTAGAAAATCGTCAACAAGTTGAATGACACGTAATTTCAATTCTCCTTGGGGATACGCAAAGCATTTTAACACATAATCTGGAATCCACATCAATTTTTTAAGATGTTCCGATGGAATTTCAGTAGAAAAACTTAATTCTTCCATCTCATCTTGTTCTTCCCAATACGTTGAAATGTGTCGATTAAACACTTGACTTAAACCCGTCATTGTTTCTTTTCTTAAAATTACTTTTTTATCTTTCATTCGCTCACCAATTGCTCGTAAACACTTTTCAATCACTAGGCAATCTTGCCGAAGTGGCGCCTCAAACTCCCACGAGTTTTCAGAATCGGGATTTCCCCGCCACTTCTCCAGATATTGGGGCTGACTCTGGTGACGACGTCGT